GATTGCGGTCTGGAAAATCCCTGTTCCTCAGTGTTTCTAGTGTACTATCTAGTATAACTTCAGGAACATGATACACGCACGAAGCAAGCCTATTTTGGGAATAAGGTAAAACGATTTACCGGGGAAAAAGCAGACCAGCGGTTCGACCCGAAGTTGTTTCCTACTAGACCTTATAAAATTTAATACAGTCAATTAAAAAAAACAAGGGAAAAACCCAGCGAACTAATGCTAAATTCAAACAAGTTCTCTACAAAGTGCAAACTACTACAGATTAACCAAAGTGCCCTAGAGCATACGGCGCCTGTAAGTACTTGTGCCTTCTAGGGGATGTTCAGCTTCTAGCCGGAAGTAATACATTTTACGCTTGCTCCGTTAGCAAATTACCTGCATAAATGCTTGGTCATCTGGAGAGCGAACCGGCAATGTCGTGGATTAGATGTGCGTTTTGCGCGACCTTAAAATAACCCAAACAACCAACGCAGTAGATTCAGCTACCGAAAATGTGGAGAGCATGTCAAAGATGGTCCTGAATCGAACGTACTGTACAAATTACAGTGAAGAAAAGGAATCTTAAAACAATCTTTCTCCACTTGATTTTCCATCACTATCACTTATTGTCTAAGAACTGTAACCTCTTTGAGTTCAACTGCGAAGCCTGCCGACTTTCAAGGAAGGCAAATGCAAACACGGAAAGGTTTACACTATCCTACATTTTAAGCTGAGTGTGTTGAATGAAGCTACTGTAAGGTCTTCTCAAGAACCAAACAAAAACGGCCCGCGAAGCAGTGAAGCAACCAGAATCTAAGAAAACAGGCCAATCTGAGGGAGGTAGTTTAAATGACATCCGGAAGGTGGGACAGAACGGCTCAGGTCAACGATCATTCAACGAGACGATAAAATACCTTACCAGAATAGTATGTATAAGGGGATTAAGAGTGATAGGAAGTTGATTCAAAGGCTTGGTGTCAGCAAGTAAACCTGGTTTAAAAAAATAATATACGCAAATGAAAGGAGTGAAAAGAAGGACACACGGAGACGTACATCTGAGCTCAGAAAGTTGATCATGGCAGTCTCGGCCAGTTCTTTAGACTCCTGGAACTTTTCCTCCGCAATTTTGACCTCATCTTCGATTACTTTCGCTCCTGCGGGATCTATATACAGAGGAAAAGGAAAGAGAAACTAGAAGACTGAAGGAGAACGAAGGGGACAAATGCAGGCGGTTAACAGCCAAAAGAACTAAGACGGTTACAGACGTGTAACCCAAAAAAAAAACAGAGAAAGCATAAATGGCGCGGTTACTTTTTGCAGGCTGTTGGGCGTTAGGGCCAGTAGACATTTAAAATTTACCCGACTTTTTGGCATCTAAATTAAGAAGAGAGTACACTTCGAGTAGATGCAAAAATAAGTACTTCCTGAAACAAGAGGCAAAGGCATACACACAGGTTATATTAGAATTAGATGACACCACTGTACTTTGTCTACTACATGGAGGCCACCTTTACAACAGAGGCATCAACTGTATCAACTGCGCATAAATAAGCTAGCGCCGAGGGTGACTGGCATAAAATGTACTTTAATTTATCTTCCCATAGTGCGCAAGTTCCAATGGCAATGCGAAGTCAGAAAGACTGGGGAGATCGCGTGGACGCCATGACAGATGAAGCCAAAACCAATGCCTGCGCACGCTAAGCATGTGCTGGTACCCACGCTTACACTAGGCAGACGTTATGGAGGTGAAGAGATTATTGGGCTAGTTGGCATCCATTCAGGTCAGCACTTTTGCCGCGTCATTATAGTTTATAGGCGCATCAAACTTGCTAAGTTGAGAAAAAATGTTGGATCGGCCAAAGACAGTCACAGTGGGATCGGGCGCTCAGTCCAACTCCTCTGGTCTCCACTCTATGCACCGGGAAACGATTCCGAGTCAAAATAACAGGGGAGGGAACGATCGAGGCGGGCAGCCGACGTGCTTGAAGACCTTCATTTAACGCATATCACACCAGTCTGATCAAATCTGGATCCAGCCCGAGGGCAATTTCCACCTTTTAGGCAACAGTGGCACGGACAACATGGCAACACTGCGAAGGTCGAAAGGCAAAAGGGTTAAAGAATGCTGTAATTGAGGACCGGTGGAGGGAGTAAGAGTTAGGTTTTCCTAAAGAAATAAAAACTCGATTCAGTATCCACAATCAGTCTGTCTGAAGGTCACAGATAATAGTGAAAAGGGCGAGAAAAAACTATTATCCTGACAGTAACAAATGGTAACTAGGGGACGTCAAGACTGTTGTGGCAGTTTTTATGAAGTGTACTAGGTCTACATCAAAAAAGAATGTACCAGGAGACCCACAGAGAGCTCGACAACATAAAGCAATTGCGAGAATAAATCTTAAGAGCAGCAAAGGCGCAGAAGTGGAGAAAAGGAAGAATGCCTCTGCTCGTAGCATACTTCATTCACGTAGTTACCTGGCTGCAAAATCTATTCAATCATAACATTTGAGGGAGAGAGGGAGGTAGTTAATTTTCATATCTACAGCTTCATGCCTTAAGAAACCGGGTACCAAAAGGCATTAAAGACGTTTCAAGTAGGCCGTCCAAAGCTACTTTTTAAAACAGCCAAAGCAACAAAATTCGCTCGTCGCGAAAACAGCAATTTCTGCTTAGACCGACGCTGGCCCCCAGCAACCACAACACACCGGTAGTTTTCGAAACCCAGTGGCAAAGTCTATGACCGTAACTCAGATTGGACAGTGTCACACTGTCAATCACTGTCACGAAGTACGCCTCCTACAGTGGTAGTATTGACCATTTATACTGGAAGAAATTGAAAAATCCGACAGTCATAAGATGATGGATGAGAATTAGGCTAAGAGGGCTCAAGTTATCAGGTTCGTAAAAACGCTGAAACAGGAAGAGAGTTAGAAGTTTTAGGCCTGAAGAGAGAGAGAGAGAGAGAGAGAGAGAGGAAAAAAACAATATTAACGTTGTTTTCTTCTGCTCAGCGTACATAGACGCCCCCTCGGAAGTATCACCAAAAGGAAGATGACTAAATGACAAACAGTTATGCTCACAGTCATAGATGTACACTCGG